TTTTCTGCCGTGTCTTGTTTGAGTTATAAGCATTTTGACAATCAACCCCGTACGACAACCACACACACACACACACACACACAGCCCCGGTCTCCCCTACAGATTAGAAAGAATAATATTTGATTCTTTTTCGTTTAAATATCAAAATTGAAATAAATCTTGTTTATAAATGAAATTATCAGAACCTCACATAAAGAAATTAATCTTTAATTGGATTAATTGAAATTTTGATTAAAAATAGACGAATCAAAATTTTCTTATTGACTCTCCTAGAATTTTAGTTGAGATAACCGGAATTCTGATTGATATAATTAGAATTCTGATTTGTCCATTTTTTCAACCAGACATTTTTTTCAGTGCATATTTTTGTAAACTAAAATGAGAATTGTTCGGCAATATTCTTTCTCTTGATAGAAGATAGTATGGTCTTTTGCGAAAATTGTGCAATTTTATGAGAATCGCAGATTGTCTTGTACCGACCTGGGCGGTGCGTTGTCGCCGAGGAAGGACTTGCAGAGACGTTCCGCTTCCCTGCGAGTAATCATGCCGCATCTACGCGAGGACACCGGCATCGCCCCGGCACGACGAAGTATCTCCAGCTGAACTGGCGTGCACTGCACGCAGGTGATGCCCAACGCCACCCGACGATTGTGAATCTCGTTGTAGCTGAACTGCTTCAACAGGGTGTTGCTGATCTGTGCTAGGCAGAGTCGTTCCTGCCCCTCGATTACCAGCGACACGATGTGGATCCCGTAAAGCGACACGGTACCCACCTGCAACTCCTATCGGTATTTAAACGTACTAGGATGCCCTCAGATTCGGGCGCTTCGCGGGTCAGTTTCATTCCCCCGCTGCACTTTGATCTTTTATCTGTTTACCGTGACTGCCGTGACATTAGCGATTCATTAAATTATTCTAATAATTACAGTCGACTCAATGCTCGACTTAATTAACATCGCGTAGTATTAGATTTTTATCAGTCAAAAGTATATAAAAATTCATGAGAGTTATATAAATAATTATTAATTAAACTCGAACATATAAATACAAATTAGAAAAAAGTGATTAATAATACGAGTTAGTTGAGAGAATAAAAAATTAATAATATTTATTATTATATTATTAAAATTAATAATAATAAATTGATAAATTAATATGATATGCATATAGAATTATATGTTAAGAGAGTAACGAATTAAATATTAAAATAATAAATAATATTAAAAAGATCTGGAATTAGAATTATTGTTTTATTTGTATATAAATTAACTTATACAAAAATATTTCTTTTAAATTTTTCTTTTACTTTTTCCTCGTGCACGAGCAGTCTTTCTATATTGGCCTAGATTTATATCATTTTATGGAATTTTAATCCATTAATTTCAAGACTTGCATTCTCGTGTCTCTCTGTTACCTGATTTTGTTTCGGATGCGATTGCGGTTGCGGCGATTGCGCCGATTTTTGTGAAGAAGTCAGCGGCGGCATCGACAGCACCGCCGGCCCATCCATTCTGGAAAAGAGATTATTATTGGATTGAGCATCAGAAAAGATAAATATTCAATGTATAATCTTATTTGTAATAATCTTAACACTTAGATGATATTAGGAAATGCAAATTTGTTATTTGATTATAGAGGTGGAGGTTGAAGCTTTTTGATAATAATTTCATAAAAGCAGATCATGAAAACTAAAAGTTGGACTATAAACAACGTTTGCAGATTGGGATTAGAAATACGTATATTGGCAATATGGATATACTAATTATAAATAATAATAATAATATACTATAAACACTACACTGAAAAAAAAGATTGGTTGCTGCAACAATTTAGATATTAAAATATGGTATAGCATTTTTATATGGCTGCAGCAACTAGTCATTTCAGTTTTTGGTTGTAGCAGCAAATTTTTAGTTGCGTTAGCCTCTCAAAATCATATACTGACATTGCGGATAGGCTAATACAACTAAAAATTTGCTGCTGAGCCATATAAAAATGCTGTGTCATATTTTTTTTACTATCTAAATTGTTGCAGCAACCAATCTTTTCTTTCAGTGTAATATAAATTATATTAAGCGTACACCTAAAAATCACGCATTTTAATCGAAATGTATAATAATGTATTTGCAAAAATATGATATCTACTTAATTAAAATTGGCGAACGGAAAGCCATTTCAGTTTCTGACGAGTAATATCATCCAAATAGGTATGCACCTTGCACGTTTATAATTCCTATACTTCTTCTGCTTCATTTAAAAACTGTAGTTTCCGTTGACGTTTCTATAATTGCTTGAAAAATTGTGATTGTTTTAACATCGTTTTGAGAATTGCGTGTAATTTTGCGCCGGCTATATTGGGTTATCCGGGCCTATTCGACCTAATGGAAAATGCATCGCCGATGCGACGCGACAATAATTTGCCTCTCAGCGCGGTTTTTATCATCATCGACGAGATTGATTATAATCTCTGATGTTTTACGGTCGCGCTCGTGCGCTCGTGTCCGATAATAAATTCCGCGTTTTCCACTCGCGCAAGGGGAATAAAAAAACATTTTCCTCCGCTCTTCCTCCTCCTCTACCCTCGTTGTAATTATATTTATTACACTTTATCGATCAGCGCTCTTTCTCCCTCTGGATGTGCCGCCGCGTCCGGCGGTGCATTCAGCTCAATTAAATCGGGCCCTCCTCGTTTTTGCTCTGTCCCGATCGGCTGCCACGCGATCGCCGGCCAATTAAATCGCGAACAGTAACGCGACTTTTCATAACGTAAGCGGCAACGCGCGCTGCTTTCAGATCGCCATTTATATTCGATCTTTTTTTTTTTTTTACAAAAGAATGGAGGTTGAAGCTTTCCGATAATAATTTCATAAAAGCAGATATGAAAACTGAAGGTTGGATTATAAGCGACATTTGCAAACTAGGACTATAACTTTACAAAATCACCTTTCCACTTATTTTATACAGAATATGATCCAGCTTTTATGTAAAGATAATTTAAAAAATGTAATGAGAGGGCACATAAAATATATTACATAATTGAAATAACACACTGACTGTTAAATTTATTATTAGTAAAAAATCTCCAATTGATGAAATATATCAATAATTTGTCTATCTTTTTCAACTCATCTGTAATCTGAAGTTAAAAAATGTAGACAAGTTATTAGCACATTCTGTCTATTGAAGACTTAACCAATAATCAATCTGCAGTCAGTTATTTCAGTAATATATTTTACGTTTCTTCTCAAACGTTTCGTTCTTTATTATCTTCAATTATATATACTTGATTTGGTCCGTTCTGTGGACCTCACATTGAAGACGAGTTAATCGGCAGCGAAAGCGTGATCGCATTTATCCGCAGATTCGGAAAACACGCGTGCCGATTAAAAGGTGTGATTAAGTTGTTCTTGTCACCATCGTCATCGTTGTCGTCGTCGTCGTTGTCGCTCGAAGGGCCCTCCTTAATTATCAGGCGTTGATTAAGCAAATCCAAAGACCCGCTGAAATTAAACTCGCGCGGTCAAAGCGCTGGTCGCCGTATTCTCTCTTCTTCTCTCACTCTCTTTTTCTCTTTCTGTTTCTCGAAAATTTACGGAACAGAATTAAGGGCGATTAAATCCAGTTTCTCTCTCGCTTAACCTTCTTTCCGGCTTCTTTCCGTAATCGGTAACTGGCTGATTCGTTAATCGCGCCAAGGACAATGATGTCCCTGTTGATCTCTTGATTCAATCCTTTGAAAAAATAAGTCAAAGTATCAAGACAATTTATCTTTTCAATTACAAAGATTTAATTTTAAGGATAAAAGTCTTAAGCATTAATCGAATATACATTTAACTGGAATTGTATCGAAGGTACATCAAATAAAATTCAGTGATTATTTTTAATGTCAGAGCGGAAAATTATATTTTTATGTATCGTTGAACAAAAATTTGTAACGTCAAAGAATTTGCGTAATGTTTTTATATCTTATAATTTATAAAAACGTGCAATCTTTTTAATCAATGATGAATGCCATATTCACGACAGGTAAATCGGAGATTCATGAGGAAATAACTTGGCAAACTGTCAATCGACATGTTCTTGTAATTTTTCCACGAATCAAAGCAACAAGGAATTGCGGAGAATTTGCGAAGAGAAGAGCACTAGCGAGAAGTCTTCCTCAAAGAGAACGATTCGCTGGATTTCACCGAGAAGACTTCCTTTGCAAGGACCGTCGGATAAAGAAGAAAAAAAATGGATGCTAAAGGCGAAAATGAGAGTCGGCTCTACGAATCGAGTTCTTTATCCTCTTAACGGGGGACGGCAAAGAAGAGGCTGAAAAATTTCAAGTGCCAGTAATAAGTGACTGGAGATTTCCCCGCTGTTAGTTTAACATGCGACAAAGATTTTCGGGTGTGTTTTCGAAAGAATAAATTTTTAATAGAGAAAGATAATGAAAGAGAAAAAAAATCTTTCACTCTTTTTAAATGATAGCAAACTTTGATCCTCGGATAAATAAAGAAGCATAAAATGTTTCTATACAGATCTGAAAGTAATTTTGTTAGACTGTTAACATAATTATGTTATAAACTAAAAAATAATGAACGATGCTTTAAAAATTTGGATAATTTAGTAATTTAAGTTTCCAATAAAATTAATTTTAAGTATTATTAATATTCTGCAAAATTTTAGATTAAAAAAAATTGTTCTTTCCGTGTTACAATATACACAAAGCTGATGCAGATAGAAATATATATAAACATAGATATAAGTACATGGTATATAAAAGTCATTTATTTCATATATTTATTAATTAAACGCTCTTTTGAATAAATCCTTTGAAAAAAACTTATGACGTAAAAATATTTGGATAGCGTGTGCATGTTGAATGACACATGTTCTAAATTATTACAAAAATAATTTCCAGCACAAGAGGATTTTTCGTGAAAAAATCGAGACAATAGAAGTGAATACGGATGCATGATAAATAAATCACCATACGTGGTCCCGGTACACCTCTACCAAATAACGTAATATGAAATTCGGGCCGTTATCATGCGGTTATACGTTATGCGATAATACAGTTATATATAATTAAGTTAATAACGCAATGCACATAAGGCAACAGAGACTCGTCGTGAGGAGAAAGAGATGGGCGAAAGAGTCGGGAAGGTAGTTCGGGGGTTGAGGGATGCATCGCTCGGAACAGGTACGGCGATTAGGAGGAGAGATCAAAACGGTCCATGTCGACGAGGAGAGGAGCGAACGGGGTACGGGGTCGGGGCCAACCCCCGGTGTTGATTTTAATTGAAAACGCCTCCGCGGAGGAAGTAGCGCGTGTATGTATATATACGTGTATATGTCGCTACATGCGCACGAACACAGATACCGATGCAACCCCCGACAACTGGAGGCAGCGCGAGAGCGCCAGCGCCCCGGCAAATGTCCCCGGGGAGCCGTGGTACGAGGGGGTAATTCAATTTGACACCCCCACCCACGCTTAAACAAGGCAGCACCCATCCGAGCGTCCTCCCTCTCCTCTCCCTCCCTCTTTCACTGTCTCTCACTCTTTCGCTCCTGTGTCTCTCTTACTCTCTTATCCTCCTACTTCTCCTCCACCTTCTCCTCGTTCTCCTCCACCGTTTCCTCTCTTCGTACCGTGCAAATTAAATTCTCATCCACCGTGAAACAATGTCGGTATCCGACCCGGAACAACCCCCCGGTAGTCGCGAGTTTCCCCGTTTCCATCCCTCGTTCCCTTTGCCGCCCGCGCTTCGGCGAGCCTCGCGGATTCCGTTGGTTAGCGGTCGGATGGATCGGACTCGAATCGACCGCATTAATTACTCGCTACTTACAATTATAGTGCAGACCGAACGAACCGTCGATCGGCCGGTCGTCGCAACGATCGCGAGATACTCGCTAGTCGACTTAGTCAAAGCTCTTTAAAATTTATCCGAATTAGAAGAGACATTCAGAGAACATACTATTTTCTAATTTATAATAATTACTCATATATAGCGTTGTTTAATCATTACTCCTTTAGCTTGCATTAATAAAACATATTCTATTTCTCTAACGAAAAGTTTTTAATTTCGTAAGTAGAGTTTCTGTATAAACAAAAAGATAAATAAAATAAACATCCAGATCTTGATGTTAATGACAGTTAAATATCGCCTCAACCGCACTTTAATTTCAAATGTAATTCAATTAAATGTAATAATTAAGTTGTGTCGAAAAACATCATGATACCGATGTCGTTATCCAGATACTCAGAAATTTTGCTGCAGTTCTTCGATTAATCTCAGCTGTAGTTCAACGGCGGCTAATCTAATTAACTTTAATAATTAAATTAATTGTCACGATACCCGTATAATCTCGATGTCGTCGTAATTATCGAGATGCGATCGTTCAGAAATGTCACTGCAAAGACTTAGAGACGAGATCGGAGATTGTACGCGCTAGATATAGATGAACGGGGACGAAGAAGTCACGATGGCGCTCTCCGGATTACGTACCCGCGGGCTCGCGGATTATTTAAATGCAAACACAATGTTGTACCGGGACGTATTGTTCCCCTCTCGGTTATTTTACAATTCAATCTGCGATCCCGGGACTCCGCCGACGCGGCGCGGCCGGGGAGGCGGCGGGAGCTCGCTCGCTCGGTCGTTCGTTCATTGTAACATTGTTAAATCTCCGTCCTTCCATCATGACTATCTCCTGTCCCTCCCCAGACACTGTCTCTCCCGCTATGTCTCTCTCTCTCTCTCTCTCTCTCTCTCTCCTTCAACCTCTGGAATCCTCTTCTTTCGACTCTACTTCTCCACCTTGCGTTGAAAACACGATACTTCTGTCTCCCTCTCTCCCTCTCTCGGTAATTGTACGCGCCTTTCGGATTCTTCGCATAATTTATGAGCGGCTTCGTCTCTTCGCTCCTGTCGAAGAACGGCAGAGATGTAAATAGGCGAGTGCGTAATTTTGCTGGATAACGAAGCGCAAACGCGCGGTGTAAATCGCTATTAATACATCGACGTCATCGCGTCGCTCAGTCACCAGTGATTGCGCTTGACGCTCGCAATTAATCCGCCGATCTGGCTGTCGGGTTTAATTCTGACTCTCGATTAGTTCACACGAAAACCTCGCCGAGCTCTCTCTCGGAGCTCTTAGTAACTCGAACTTGAGGAAATATCTTTGTCTATTATCAAAATGGATTATAATTACTATTTCATTGCGCTGTTATTATATTTTATCAACAAATCCTCTAATATTTACAATACAATATCAGAGAAGCGAAAACCTTTGTCCATCAAAATAGATAATAATTACCATTGTGAATTGCATTATTATTATTATATTTTACCATTAAATTCTCTAATATTTATAATACTCGTACGATATTACAAAAGATGATTTTAAATGACAACGTTAGTAGTTCTATTTGAATCCACTTTCATATATTAATTTATGTTATTAATTCTTAATGCTTCTCGCGGCGAAATGTATCGGCCTTGTCAATAACACGCTAATCCTTTGGCCTTTGTATCTGTATACGCGTTAAAATGTTATCATCTAGAGTGGCATCAGAGGCAAACACAATGCCGCGGGCAATCGGAGTCCGTCAAGAGGATCAGGAGATTAAGTGCCACTCTCGGATAATAATTTTAATAACCGGAATGCACTCTCTCTCTGATCGTCATAAGTACTTAGCTCCATCCAGGGAGAACGGATCTTTTACCTTCCATACCCGGTGCGTGTTTTTACAATACCGGTTTGTGCGCCGAGTCACGTTCAGTTATTCCCGGGGGCCGCATTTATATTTCATGATTCAAAAATTACACAAATGCTAAGCCGATATGATTCATCGCGCTTTACATGTAACTTTACAAGTCTGCCGTTTAAATGATTACGAGAAAATACGAAAAAGTGGAATTAGCGGACTAAGAGAAATGTTGGGATGTTAATCATTCAGCTCGAACGAAAATAATATTTTATCAAAGATTTCCTAAACTGAGACAATATATTTAATAATAAAAATAGAATATTGAGTAAAAGTAAAAATAAATTTAGAATGTAGAATAATTTTTGTTATTTATATACATATATACGCATAATTATAATACATTTATAAGATAATTAAATTTTAATTAATGTTTTTGTTTTCTTCAGAGGGGTAAAGAAATTACATATAAAGAGGGAACAATAAAAAAATTTAATTGTTAAAAGGACGCGCGTATAGCCTATCTCTTGAACATCTACGAAAAAGTTAGTTAATCCACCATCGGGCCATTTAAAGCTTAAAGACGTTATCCTTCAACTTTCCAAAGACTTTAATCGTGTCCAGCGATGTTATAAATCGCGCGCGCGTAGTCAACCGAAAAATTAGGCGAGACACGTCTTTCCTAAAACATCCGGAAACTTTCAGAAACTTCTTGAGATAACGCACCTGGGACCGCGTAATCTTTTTATTTCAGCTTAAATGGAAGATTTTTGTAGGTTTATTGTATATCAATTACTCTCTAATCCAATTTAAACTATATATTCTCACAATTCTATTACTTTTAGGTTCTTTGTTAGTGAATACTCAATAAATTTCTTCGATAACAAAACGATCGAACTATAAGTAATCCAACGATTTAAAGTACGACCCATCTAATACGTGTCCATCTAATCTGATTACTTTATTCTTCTAGGTTTCTATTCAAAGTGCCTATTTGAGCACAGGTTGTCACCTCGGACATTTCTCGTAGGAGACAAA